TTAGTATGGAAACTTCTAGAACTTTCTTGACTGTTCTAGGAAATTACGAAAAAAAACGACAAAAATGTCTTACCAACCTAATAATACCAACGAGTGTTAAATGAGATTGTGTAAAAATGCAAAACAAAAAGTTATATTTCATCACAAATTATTGACTAAATAATTGAAGTCTTCTGTGCTACTCTGCATCAAATCTGTACTTGTTTTGAATTACCGTCTGATATAAAAGTAAATTATATTCATTTCTGAAATTTTCTATGTTATACAATAGATTTCTAAAATATAATTCTGTTCGATATTATATAAATAAGATTATTATTTGAGATACTCATACAGTTGGTTAAATAAAGAAAAAAAACGTTTTATTTCATTTTTATTTGTTACAATTACTCGTATCTTCTTTTCACAGAATTCAATATTCGTTTTATACACATGAAGTAACAAATGAATTTTCGTTAATAAAATTTATGCAATCTCTAAAATGCTCTCATAAAAGAGCAATGCTCCGGCATAATCACCCAAACTATCATATATTCTACTGATATTGTTATAAGAAACGGCTAAAGTCGGATGATTAGAAGGGAATGCATTTTCACTGATTTCCAAATCTTGTGTATAGAATAACAATGCTTCTATGTAGTTGCTGATCTTTGTCAAATAATGTTACCACCATGCAGTGACCTTGTTGGTCTTTGATCAATCCGAGTTGGTTGTAGAGAAGAGATTTAGGGTGTGGGTGTGGGTGCGAGTCTTCTCTGAATTGATTCCCACATCCATACCCACGCCCACACCCACCACACCCACACCCTTTTTTTTTGATGATTTTCTATAACCAATTCATACTCTCTAAAATGGAGGTTCTTGTCACAAAGCCACACTGTAGTAACCAGTGAACATTAATGTGCATGATTCAAAGACAATTTATTGTAGGAATCAAAAGATTTTAGACTACATGTGTTCAATTTCAATGATAAGATTCCAAAGATTTTCATATTATTTTACAGAATCATGAAATATAGATATGTGTTTAAAATCGATTGGTTATAGCTACATCTTACATTATTCTCATCGAATAATGTTTCGATTCAATTGATAGAATAGTATAGCATAAATAAAAATCATAATTCTAAACAAAAATTTTCTTCTGGATAACATAATGTATCTTTTTGAATTGTATAATTTTTCTATCATTTCTTCTCATGAAAGAAATACAACTGCATGGATTTTCTAATTAAAATGTTTTCTCTTTGCATTAGAATTATCACCAGACGAATGCTTCATTTTTGGGTGTGGGTGAGAGCGAAGGGATAATCAACACCCACACACACCCCGCGATTTTTGTCCGGGTTTCGTTATTTTTGGCTCCCTTTATTTAATATTTTTCTTGTTTGAAAGATCACGTGAAGGCGTAAGACATGACGGAGTCGTTTTTTAAATTAAACTTTGTTTTTATTATACATGCAAACACCTAGATAGTTAGAGCGTCATTTTTTGAGTGTTTTTGAGTAATTTTTTGAGTCATTAAACTTATTATCCTTTTTCTTCGCTTAAAAAATGAGTATTTGAGAAAGAGAGCTTGGTCATGCTCTTCATTCAGACATGTTCTTTCAAACAAAAAGAATATTAAGTATATTGAATGAGTAACAAAAGAAAAATTTGGGTTGCCAAATAAGTTATTGTTGACTATTGTTTAATTAGTATCTCCCTCAAACATCGTGACATTGAGCTGAAAATTTTACCATAGCCTCCACATTACAGCCCCAACATATTCTGAAAATCTCACGTTGTTTCACTTGACTTGGTGCGAAATTAGCTTTTGAGGAGGGAAACCTTGAAAATGGGTGAAAAATGCGCCAGGCTGGTAGTACTAGGGTTAATATTTTACTCACGATGACACAATCTGCTGCGTTATCATCACGAAGAGAAAGACAAGTCAAGTTGTGGAAAATTGTCATACATTTATCGATTTGATTGGAATCTGATGAGTTATGGAGAGTTAGTAAAATAAATGCTCTAAACTTATATAACAATGCTGATTCACTGTGCGAAAATAATCGATTCTCATTGAATTCTTACGAAACAATTTGTACAGTTTTGATTTCCAGGGGAATCATTGTAATCAATCGATCAATAGAGTAGACAACTGAAACCTTAATTGAATATTTTTTAAATAGAATGAAAGTTTTTTTAAGAGAAATTTAACGCCTAAAATGATTGCTTTCCAAAGAAAATAAGCGAAAAACTCCCTAAACTTTGTTTATTTTTAGTACCTGTCTCTCTGAAATTAACCGATTTATTAAATAAGGTGTCATGATCAATTGTCGTTCGAATATGTGCCAGAAAAATATGATCTTCAACAAAGGGTGTTGGTGTGGGTATGTTTCATTTGAGTCCACATCCACACCCACTGTTGCCAATGACTATGTCGCGGTTTTATAAACCACTCAATATCACGCTATTTACCACCGTGGTTACTGATGACTATACCGTGTCATGAAATACCGCAGTTTCCTCTAGTAAAACCGTAGTTTCAAGCGATTTTTCGAAAAAAGAATTTCCGTTGGCAATGATGATAAGACTAATCTAAGAACTGAATGTTTTCGGGAAAAATTGAAAAAAAATGGAGATTTTGAAAGTTGTGTGTAGTGCTGTTTTTAAATCATGTTGATGTCGAAAGAGAAAGAAATTATTATTTTTACAACGAAATATGTAATTTGTGTAGATGCAGATGGTGAATCTTTTGATAACAAAAAAATAAAGCGTGAGCGATAAGATAACGCTTAAGATGGTAACAAAATATTGAGATCCTCTTGTATTATGAGCTACCAGTTAGTTTCATATTATAAATATACTTTCTGCTGTCTTTCTGCTTTCCGATAATAAAACTTCTGTTATTTTCTGCTTTTCAGACTTCAAAAGGTGGCAGCACTGATTGTGCCTGTCTAATATCAAATATCGTTATTACTATGTGTTTTCAAGGTCATATTCTAAAATCTAGGGTGTCAGTGAGAGTCACTTGATATGCTTCTCTTCGTTTTCTTTTTTTATTTTATATAAATATTGCTATCAATTTTATATCTTCCCTTCATTGAAATTATTGTTTTTTTGTAATATAGTTCTGCGTTAGTGTCATTTAATGGAGCTAATTCAATCTTCCTTGGTATTCACTGTCTTTATAACTCTTCTTATAATAACAGCAAATCCATCGGCTGGTAGATCTTTATTAAAACGACAACAATCCACACAAATAAATGAACGTATTGATTGTTATCCTGAACTTACATCACCATTTGCAAATTATTCAAAACGATCATGTTTAGCTCGAAATTGTTTATTTGATGATGAAGCAGGTCCAGGTGTTATACAATGTTATTTATCACCAAATTATGGTTATATATTACAAGGTTCTGCTGAATCAATAACTAATGGTTTACGATTAAAATTAAAACGAAATTCAGCAATAGGTAGTATGTTTCAACAACCTATTGAAAATGTTTTACTTGATGTTCAATATTATACAACTGATATTATCAGATTTAAATTATATGATGCTGATAATAAACGATATGAAGTAAGAAGAGAAATAATTAGATCAAATATCGTCGAAAATTTTTTCCTTAATTTAGGTGCCGATACCATTAACACCATCTTCGAATCAAGTTTCATCACCACAATATGAATTTAGTTATTCATCAGATAGTTCACGTGATAATATTCTTTCATTTTTCATAAAACGTCGAACTAATAAAACAGTTTTATTTGATACATCACTTGGTGGTCTAGTTTTAAATAATCAATTTCTTCAAATCGTTACTCGACTTCAATCACCACATGTTTATGGTTTTGGTGAAAATAATCATGATACACTTAAACATAATGTTCAAGAAAGAAAATCATGGGGGATATTTGCTCGTGGACAAGGTTACTCATTAAAATATAGATTGAAGAATCTACTTTTTTCTTGTGATAAGAGTCGATAATGAATTTTGAGCAGAACATACTATTCAACGAAAAATTTCGAACTAATCTTTTTTGTTTTCCTAGGAACAAATTTGGAAACAAATTCCAATCATTATGGTTCTCATCCATTTTATCTTGTCATGGAACAAATAGGAAGTTCAAATGAAGCTCCATCTGGTCGTATGCATGGTGTTCTTTTACTTAATTCTAATGCAATGGATTATACTTTTGAACCAACACCATCATTAACAATTCGAACTATCGGTGGCATTTTAGATTTTTTTGTTTTTCTTGGTCCAACACCAGAACAAGTTATTCAACAATATACATGGCTTATTGGTCGCACAATATTACCACCCTATTGGTCATTGGGTTTTCAACTTTCACGTTGGGATTATTCAAATATAACTCATATGAAAAATATTGTTGAACGAAATCGTGATGCTGGTATTCCACTTGATGTTCAATATGCTGATATTGATTATATGGATGCGGCAAAAGATTTTACTATTGATACAAAAAACTTTCAAGGTTTAAAAGAATATTTTACTCAATTAAATAATGAAGGAGTACAAACAGTTATTATTTTGGATCCTAGTACAATTGATGATCAAAAATATTATGCACCAACAATTGAAGGAATAAAAGAAGATGTTTTTATTAAGTGGGATGATAGAAAAACATTAATGAAAGGGTCATGTTGGCCAGGTGATGTCTTTTTTCCAGGTTAGTGTTGTTTGTTTTTTTTGCCAACAAGATTAAAATTAATGTGATTTTGTCATATATAGATTTCTTTACTAAACGAGCACAGGATTGGTGGTCAAGATGGATTAAAGATTTTCGTCGTGTGAATCTAACCTTTGATGGACTTTGGATTGATATGAATGAACCTAGTAATTTTTAATTGTATTTATTTTCATTAATCTTCATATAAATTTCATAGTTTTATTCAATACAAATGAAGCAATTCCATGGAATTGGATGTATACGAACAGTAATTATACATTGAAATGTCCTGAAAATGAATGGGATGATCCACCTTATCGTACTAAAGCTGTCTATCGATGGGATTCTACAATGACTCGAGCTAGTCGTTTATCTGATCAAACTTTATGTATGTCAGCTCCACAAGGTGAAATTGATTCACAAACAAATCAACCAAAATATCGTCATTATGATGTTCATAAGTAAATAAAAGATGAAATGTTTAATTAAATTTTGTGTGTGTATTTTTTTTTAGTCTTTATGGATGGAGTGAAACAAAACCAACATTAGATGCTATACGAGAAGCTACTGGTAAACGAAGTTTAGTTTTACCACGTTCAACATTTGTTGGTTCGGGTCAATGGTCTGGTCATTGGCTTGGTGATAATGAAGCAACATGGCATGAAATGAAAAGATCTTTAATTGGAATAGTAGAATTTAATTGGTTTGGAATATCACTTATTGGTGCAGATATTTGTGGATTTGATAAAACACCAACAGAAGAAATGTGTATTCGGTAGAGTATCTATTCTATCTTTTATTTCAAATAAATATTTTTTTTTTGAGGTGGATGCAAGTCGGAGCATTTTATCCATTTTCTCGAAATGTAAATCTTTTTTCATATTTTTATTTTTGTTATATAAATTAATTATTTATTTAAATTTAGCATAATATATGGAAAACACCTGATCAAGATCCAGCTGCTTGGTCATCATCTGCTCTTTCCATAATGATTTCCCTACTTCGTATTCGTTATACACTTCTTCCATATTATTATACATTATTTTATAAATCACATACAACAGGTTCAACTGTAATTCGACCTTTATTTCATGAATATCCAACAGATAAAACAACATTAGATATTTTCCTACAATTTCTTATTGGACCAAATATAATGATAGCTCCAGTGACAGATGATGGTGCAAGACAAGTTCAAGTTTATATTCCATCATCACATTGGTATAATTATTATTCTGGTGTACGAATTCTATATGAAAAACAATTTATTACATTATTAGCACCATTAGATACAATTCCCATACTATTACGAGGTGGAGCTATTATTCCAACACAAGAATTTGCAAATAATACAAAATTATCAAGGTAGATTTTTGAAAAATATTCTTTTTTTTTGTATTTTATAAAATTTGATTTTTAAAGAGAAAAACCATTTGGTTTAATAATTGTTCTAAATTCTAATGGTAATGCTCAAGGTGATCTTTTTTATGATGATGGTGAATCTATTGATACCATTGGATCAAAATCTTATTATTATTCAACATATAAATGGTCAATATCAGAAAAACGATTAATAATAAATGTTATTGAAAATAATTATTCACAAATGTCGAATTTAATTTTAGATACATTAACGATCTATGGATTAGAGAATATTCCTATGATAATTAATGTGAATAATAAAAAATTTTATCCAAAAATAAGACCAAATACACAAATTGTTGATGTCAATGGATTAGGTTTATCGATGAGTCAAAATTATATGTTAACATGGACAACGACAGAAACACCGATTGTTAAACCACCACAAGCTCTTCTAACAGAACCTAAATATCGAGTAGATTGTCATCCCGATCCAGGTAAATCTTTAGAACTCGTAAGAAGATTTTGAAATGATCTTTTAGGATTAAAAGATCACATCTTTAGGTAGATACAATTGATGAAAGATAGAACTTTTGCCATTTTTTAGATGTTACAAGTAATACCTGTCTTGCTCGTGGATGTATTTGGGATATTCCAATGATATCTGGTTTTCCTTCTTGTTATATTCCAAAAGAAAAGGGTGGTTATAGTCAAATTGATTCAGTACAACAATTAACCGATGCTATTACATATTATTCATTATCACGTTTATCAACAAAACCTCTTCTCAATCGAGCAAATATCAATTATCGTATTGATTCTCGTCAATCAATGTCTAATGTAAAACAACTTGCAACAACTCGATCAAATGAATTTTCTATCTATGGTAATGATATTGATCATTTAAATATTCAAGTTAGTGTATCAGGTACTGATATGATACGTTTAACAATTCGTGATGCTAATAAACAACGTTATGAAGTTCCTGTACCTATTCAATGGCAAGCATCATTACCATCATCATCTGTTCAAACAAAACTTAAATTTGAAATGACAAAAACAAGTAATAATCAAGCTGGTTTTCGTGTAAAACGTACCGATACACAATCAATTATATTTGATACATCATATTTTGCTGAAGGTTTTATTTATGATGATAAATATATTCAATTTATTACAACAATTCCATCAAGAAATATATATGGTTTTGGTGAAAATACACATCCAACATTTCGACATATTCTTAATAATTCATCTCGTTATGGAATATTTGCTCGTGATCAACCACCACAAGGAAAAAATGAAAATTTATATGGTACACATCCATTTTATATTTCAATTGAAGAAAATGGACAAACATTTGGTGTTTTAATATTTAATTCAAATGCACAAGATTATAAATTTGATGAATTTGAAGATAATCAATCAATGTTGACATATCGAACACTTGGAGGAATTTTAGATATATTCTTTTTTGCTGGACCACGTCCAGAAGATGTTATTCGACAATATCAAATTATTATTGGTAATCCTTATATGCCACCATATTGGGCATTAGGTTTTCAATTATGTCGTTATGGTTATGATACACTTGATAATATGAAAGCAGCAATGCAAAGAACTTTAGATGGACATATTCCACTTGATGTTATGTAAGAACAAAATTTATTTTAATCTTTTGATTATTTTATTATTTAATCTAGGTATGGAGATATTGATTATTTTCATAAACAATTAGATTTTACTTGGGATCCAGTTCGTTTTCAAGGTTTACCAGAATATGTGGATCGATTACATATACAAGGAATGAAATTTATAACAATTCTTGATCCAGCTATTGATTCTGAAGAACCAAATTATGATGTTTTTATTGAAGGAGAAAAGGCAGATATTTGGATAAAATGGCCAGAAAATAGAAATCTTCAATTTAATGAAACAAAAAATAGAAATATGGTTGGATATGTTTGGCTTATTGGTTAGTTATTTATATTCGAAGTCAAAAATGATAACTTTTGTCATATGAAAGATGTTGAGTAATTTTAAAAAAAGATTGATATTGACATAAGAGAATCTAATTGAGTGCGATTAGACTTGCACACAATATTCAATAATTGACAATTTGTTTGTCATTTTGTTTCATTCTAGGTAAGACAGTATTTCCTGATTATTTCTATCCTCCAGCTAAAGAATGGTGGAAAAATCAAATATTAAAGTATCATAAACAACTTAAATTTGATGGTTTATGGATTGATATGAAGTAAGAAAAAAATAAAACATCAATAGATTTTCTTTATTGTTAATTCTTATTACTTAGTGAACCAGCAAATTTCGATACAAATAAATTACAACCATGGAATTGGCCTCGTCCTGATCCATGGAATCTTCATTGTCCACTTGATGAACTATTAGAATCGCCACAATATAAAACAGCTATATATGGTGATTATTTATCAGATAAAACTCTTTGTATGATTGGTGAACAAAATGATGGTCAAGGAAAAATTTATAAACATTATGATGTACATAATTTATATGGATGGTCAGAAACAATTGCAACATTACCAGCAGCACATGCAACAGAAAATAAACGTTCAATAATCATAAGTCGTTCAACATTTCCTACATCAGGAACTTATGCTGGTCATTGGTTAGGTGATAATACAGCAGCATGGTCACATATAAAATATAATATTATTGGAATGCTTGAATTTAATTTATTTGGTATACCATATGTTGGTGCGGATATTTGTGGTTTTGAAGGAAATACAACAGAAGAAATGTGTCAACGTTGGATGCAATTAGGTGCATTTAATCCATTTTTTCGTAATCATAATGGAATAAGATTTGCTGATCAAGATCCAGGAAATTTTCCACCAGAAATTATTGATTCAAATCGTCATGTAGTTGAAACACGTTATACATTAATTCCATATTTATATACACTTTTTCATCGTGTACATATTTCTGGTGGAACCATTGTTCGTTCAATGGCACATGAATTTCCAACTGATCCGTTATGTTGGCCATTAGACGAACAATTTTTATGGGGTTCACATTTATTAATTGCTCCGGTTATTTATGAAGGTCATATAACAAAAAATGTTTATTTACCATCAAGTGAACGTTGGTTTAATTATTATACTGGTGAAGAAATAATAACATTAGGTGAAATTACTGTACAAGCACCACGAGATTATTTGCCATTATATTTACGTGGTGGTTCTATTCTACCTCATCAACAATCAGGAATGAATACAGTTCTAGCACGTAAAAAACTATTTTATCTATATGTTGCTCTTGATAAACAACAAAAAGCACAGGGAGATTTATACTGGGATGATGGAGAATCAATTAATACATATCAAAGATTAGATTATAATTATTTTCGATTTAATTATGATGCACAACATTTAATACTTGAACCATGGACATATAAATATCCTGAAATGAATAATAAATTAGAAGAAATTTCAATATTTGGTGTGATAAAACAACCAACGACAATTCTTTGGAATAGACAAGAATTATCGAAAGACAAATGGACATTCGATACAAATACAAAAGTTTTGAAAATGAAAACATTAGCTTTAGATTTATCTCAAATACATAGATTCGTATTCCTATGATTTTTTTTTGTGAAAATATATTGAAGACAATTAATCTATTTAACATATGATTATATTGTAACTAAACTGTCATTCATTTCATGAATATTCAAGGATAGACAAGCTATTATGTTTGTAAAAAAAAGATTGATTAAGTAGATCATGAAGGTATATTGTTATTATGGAATGGCAGTCTTTTTCCTAGAAAATTAGCCATATGATCTAGTTTTTAGAGAAGCTTTTAATTGAATTATTCTATTTTCAGTCGATATTAACTTTCTTCCAAATAAATTTGTCTTCAGATTAGTACACTCATTGTAATAGAACAGTTGATATTAACAAGAAGGGTGAAGGTGGATGAAACTTGTCCTATTTCTAGTAATTAAATCGAAACGAACACAATTCTATTCGTTCATTTCATTTTAAAGCAAGAAGGAAATTTGAATAACATACAATGTCAACTCGTTTCGATGGAAAATCGTTGAACTCGATAGTTACAGTGATCGACAGCATAGAGATTGCCATGTGAATCGAATGACAAACTCTATCTTAAGGGTGAGTGAAGGTGAATGGATGTCGGTGACGGTGAAGGGAAAATAATCATCTACACTCACCCTCAAGTCACATAATTAGTTAGCTGGAAAGATTAATTCTTTTCCGAAGTGACTGTGATGATAAATACTACTGTGGATCTTTGCCATTTCATTTTACACTATACGAAAACATATGCAAATGTAACTTTTCATTATTTTTCACAGATAAGTGAAGATATCTTATCTTATATGAATCAGTATAATGCTCAGCTATTGAGAACAATGAAGAATAAACGATGTACTGTATGCTCTTTGAAAATATTGTACCTGTATTGAAATCAGAGAAACATATTACTATGGATTGAAAATCAATCAAAAAATGAAACCTCATTTTGAACTTGCAAATACTTATCAGTTCTAACTGATTAAAGATGAAAATTTCATGTTCATCTGTATAATCGTTTAAAATCTGTAACAAGATATTTTTTCCTCAATCAAAATGAGAATTATAAACGACCTTAATCGAATTAATTGCGAAAAATCGTACTCTCTGTACGAATAATCACGACTTTTCTTTCATAATCAAAAATAACCGGCATCTTTGCTAAAAACTGTGTGATAGTTGTCCATCCTTATTCATTCAATCTTTTCTTTGATAAATATCCCATAGAAAACCGTATGTACAAGAAAAAAAACATATTAATAGTATTGTTTATTCTGAAAACTTTAGCTAACAAATAAAGCGAAAATAAAGAATTAAAGGCACCTGAAGATTCTTTTAAGCAAAGTGAACTTACGACAATGATTGCTAGACCCCTGTTATTCTCACGTACTCTCAAGATATTGAAAACAATACAAGTTGATTTGAGTTTTGATTAATTATTCATAGAGTTTAGTGCTTCGTGAAAAAGAAATAGGGTATCCACCATTGATCAATATTCGTCCATCGCTCAAGGCGACTCCAACATGATAAGATCGATGATTGATTGGATTACTAGTGTTCGTCCAGTTACCAATAGATAGATCGTATAGTTCTGTAGTATTAACAAAAGGATGTAGGTGTGGGTGTTGGATGTGTGAGTGAGGGTGGGTGAGTGTAGGGTGTGGGTGTGGGTAAGAAGATTCAAGATCCACACCCACTCACCTACACCCTTAGATCTGTTCATTCTAATTTCAAACACGAACAATAGCAAAATAGCATAGTAACTATGTCGATATACATCTATAAAACCATTACTGTATATAAATTTGTTTTTTTTTAAATTTCATTTTACTTTAGTAGTTTTCTAAACCGTGCTAATAATACTTATGATATATCACTGTCAACGCATCAAAATTTTTATGTATATTCGTATTCGTTTCGTGACTTAGAAATACTAAAAGAATCTCAATGAGAAGTTGACAGAAAGCCGATTCTGTCTGGTCGAAATGGTTAAATCAATCCCAATGTTCTACGAAACTAAATAATACAACTTCATAATCATTCAAACTAAAGATATATGTTATTAATACGTCGCAAATCAATTATTTTTATGCAATTTATTTTTCTTACTTCAATTAATTCACTGCTGATGCTGTATGAGACGAACTTTATTTTTTATAAATTGCATAGCAGACAATATCCTTTTAAAAGACATTCAGAATTTACATTCGTAGAGGGTACATTCTCTCTTTTCGATCGAAAAATCAATTACAAGCTGGTCATAATGGTAAAATACGGTAAAGCAAGATACATGGAGACGTTAAAATTTGTCTCGATCTGTAGTATATTAGAAAACCTGTTCTATAAGTTGATGTTAGTCTCTTTCCATGCGTTTTTATTTTTGTTAAAGTCCTAAATCTATACAAACTATTTACGGAAGTTAGAAAATTAAATGGAATACGCAGGGTATTTTGTACAGGTTGAATAATTGTATGATGCTATAAAATAAAAAGAGATAGAAAAAATCAAAACTAGAAAATCTTATGAACTCGAAACACTATAGTATCTTTTTTTTCACAACTTTTCTTTCATCATGTAGCTTTTGAAAATAAATCGATAAAATGTGGAACGTCATTTTCTTGAAGATTAACAGAGTAATAGATTTGCAATCTATAGAGATGTAGTTTTATTGAATATAACTAATAAGCAAAGAATTATGGGGTTTTTTATAATAATCATTGTGAAATTGTTTTCTCACATCATAAATCACGAGTGTTGTCACTATAGTTCTCTCACATTTGATCCAACTGGCTAAAAAACTGACTATAGATTTGCGAAAAATGTTTTCCACTGATGTATTCATTTGCTCTCGTTTATACGCTTTTATTACGGAACTTTAACTTTTTTCAATGTCACGAGTTGGTTGAAAAACTTCTGACAATTCAAATGAACTGTCCAAAAATATATTTTCATCCTACTGGAAGAAATTTGTGATAGAGCTCAATGAAAATGAAAAAATGGTTAAGGAAAGTTTTAATTCTTGCAGTTTTATTCGTATGAAGAACTGGAAATGATGAAAAAAGAGCGAAGAAGTATTTGAGAAAACGTGAAAACTTCAATGCTATCTGCTTGTAAATGTTTATATCCTTGATAATAATCATTATCATCGTGTTGTAATTGTTGATTTTTATTAATTTGTTTTTGATTTGTTTGATCGAGAATTAAGTAGTTAAATACTATCTTCAAAAGAACATTCTCAAACATCAAGTATTCGTCCTTTAACTTATATTGTTAAAAAATCGAAGCATACTGACGAAATAAATTTACAACAAATAAATAAATTCTTTTCTATGTGAAATATTTTACCACACTAAACGTTCGAATAACTTGTAATAGAGAATATGCTTCAAGCATATCACGAAGTAATATATTTTGCTCACAGTAGAAGTAAAAGTACAAACTTTTGTGTCACTTGTAGCCAAATCGTCTCTATTGCTTTAGACAAACAATTTCATGCTTGCTGTAAACTAATCGTCTAAAATATTTAAAAGACGATGATGATTTATAGTAAAAAGCGTAGTTTTAGGTTTCATATTTTTCTAGCAACTGTCGTCAGAAATCTGAGTTCATCATTCGATCGAACACGTCGAGTTATATCTGTCTCACAATATTGTTGAAATGACTCACTAACTGAAACGAATCATTTTGAAGAAACTCGAATTGACTGCTAACTTTCCCTGCATGATTGTGAAGCCCCAATACTTTTTTGATTTTGTATCACAATGAAAAAAAATAAGTGAGACCATGGTATAGAGCACATTTTCTAATCTTCGATTCACTCTCTCTTTTCGTTCTTTAAGCTGCTCGATAGATGAATGATAGAACAAGCAAAACAAAAGTAATATTTATATGCCAAAAAACCCAAGGAATCTCAATAATATATGATCACACGTTATTTAATATAAACGAATGAATGCGCATAAGGCAAACTTATTTAGTACTGTATATATAAGCAACGTAATGCTTTTATCCTTTGTATAGAATAAACGTCGATACATTACAATATTATTGTTGTCATCAGCACACAATATTTCATACGAATACGCCGAGTAAACGTAAGTCTTTTGAAATTGTGTTCTCTTCAGAAGGTCTTGTTCATCATCAGTATGCAGCAGATTTTTCTATCCTTAAGTAGTGCCACTAAGCTTGTATAGTATTTTTTTCGCATCATAATAATTATTTTTCTGGTGACAAAAATATTCCGAAGATCTGTACGACATGACTAGGAGATATTCATTACTATAGAGCCATTTTTCTCGCGAAGTGTTTGTAGTAAGAATCGTCAATACGTTTTGTAAGTTCCAAAGCAGAAAAAAATCGTTTAGAATTTTATTCTTGTACTATTCGAAAAGGTTTGACCTTGTTGAAAATTAGATATGATGCTGGACAGAAAATAAGTGCTTCAGGAAATTTTCGTAGGAGGGATTCTCTTCAGCTGAGTTTTGGACAAGAATATATGTTACAGTGCATTTCTATCACATATACCTCGATACTATCTATTCTGTTTTCTTTGATATTTTCGTTTCTCTTCTTCCGTTTTTATTGCTTTTCTTTGTCATTGATTAACTTTTGTATTCTTTTCTATTTTGTCCTTGTTTTTTCATGTGCATATATAAACGTTTGTTGTTTAATAGAATAAATAGAGAGAGAAGAAAACACATACATCTTCAACTGTGTTCGTCGCTCTTCGTGAACGCGAACTCTAACAATATGCTTGGGATATTGTCTTCAGAGCGAATAGTTGTAATTGCATAATAGCTCTTTCTGTGATATCAACAAAATTCGAGCCGGTAGGTCTTGGAAAAACCGTGTTCTTCCAAAAATGCCTCTGTGGTTAGGTTTATTTAGGAAGTTCTCAAGGTATAATGACAAAGTGGGATAATAAAGTTATATAGTGCTTGAGTTATCCAAAAACCCTAGGGTGAAGATAAAAATCATAAAAGATTCTTCAGAAAAAGAAAATGAGCACACAGATCTGGAAAAAGGATGATTTCATTGAAATATCTCTAGCTCTGAAACTTTGTTGTGTATTTTTCGGTCTCGGAGAACGATCATCAGTGTAAAGCAGTTCATTTTCTCTTGCGGTTCCATAGCGCACTCATAGTAATAGAAAATAATGGTGCCCAAGTATAAATGACTCCCAAGCCTTTTGCTTGACATCTCTTTGAGATTTTATGGTGCCAAACCATAGGAACAAATTAAAAAAATATTTTCGTTGAGCTTTGAAAGCTGTACTCTGTAAGTGTGCATCTGGACTCTTCGATCAAAAGTCTATAGATAAATAAATGTTAGTTTTCATGAATTTTCGAAAATATTCCTGTTTCTCATCATATTTTGCCATTTTTTGGAAAAATATGGTCAACTTGTCGTAAAATATTTTCCTAGAGCATGAGTGTGGGTGTATTGTGGGTGTGGGCTAAGACAACACGTAAGCTCACACCCACACCCACCCGCAGACACACCAACAGCCACATTCAAAAAGGCAAACCCACACCCACACCTTCTTCTTCCCACATAGAATTATTTTTAGCTGAAACTACCTTTGTGTTCAAAATAAAATTCTATCAACAGATAGGATTCTTCTACTTCTAATAAGTATTGTGCTCAATAAAAGAGGATAATAACAAATTCGTGTCCGTCGTACTCTGGAAGAAAAAGCAGTTCGTCTCTCTGTAAATCGAGAAAAATCAGATTTTCACGACACAACTTCGCAAAACTCGAGAGAAAAGTGACAACTATCTTTGGATGAGAACGAACATTACATATCTTGTTTCTAGCTCTTAAATTGAAAAATACGCAAAAGTATTAAAGTATCCGAATACTTTTTTGAATAACTGTATACGTCAGATTTCATCACCAACAGTGTGTCACGGAATCAAACAAGCTTTAGCATTCTTTGTAGGCATTATAGTTACTGGACTGACTCATAACGAACTATCTTGTTTTGTGAACCATTCAACACACGGCTATGACAATCAAAAATTATATCATTACTTGTGTCACGACTCTCATACCACCTTTGACTTTTCCAGACAATCCTATCACACTTTTAAGAATGCTCAATCGTCAACATATTACTTTTTTCTTTGTGGCTTTTCTTGCGTGGACTTTTGCTTCTTTTGGCTTCTTCATGATTCCACTCAATCTAACTAATATTGCTAGAACGTATGATAGACCGATATTGGACATTAGTTGGGGAATAACGATGACTCTCAGTTGTCGCTTTGTCGGTGCCATATTATTTGGTATTGCCAGTGATCGATTTGGTCGTAAATGGCCTCTTATTGTGAATATTATTCTCTATGGAACCATCGGAATTAGTACGGGTTTCTGTCAATCGTATGTGCAATTCATTGTTACTCGAGCTCTTTACGGTGTTAGTATGGGTGGTATCTACGGTAATTGTGCATCGACTGCACTTGAAAACGCACCCATTCCTACACGTGGACTTCTATCAGGATTGCTGCAACAGGGCTATGTACTTGGACTTATTATGGCTGCTATCTGGAATTTTGTGGCTGTGAACAGTCAATCTTACGGCTGGCGAATGGCTTTTTGGTACGGAGGTTGTTTTCCGCTACTTGTTGCTCTCTGGCGAATTTTCTAACCTGAATCTCAAGCATTTCTTTGTATCCAAGAGGAACGCAAAAAAGCTGCGCTCAAAGGTATAACTGGCTTAAAGATGAAAAAAATTATAGTTTTTTTTTCGGTCCTGATTTCGATGTCAGATTTTTTCAAAACTCCTAGTACAGAGTGTCTCATCAATATCACTAAAATAAAAAATTCAAATATCTCCAATCCAGTTCAATCAAATGGGCTGA